GTGGCATCACATGTGACATCCTCCAGGTCAGTGCTTCCTGTCAGCCCATTGGCCAGAGTCACAGAACTCTTCTTTCGATGGTCAAAGTAGCGATGTGCCCTGCCGTTAAACCTGGCAATGGTAAATGAATTCAAAGTGAGGGAAAATGAGGGAACACAACTTTTATTTGTATAACTAACAACAACCAATCAGTTAATTATGGCATTTGCAGTTTCTAAGGATGCCACTCACTTCATAATGAGGATGTAGACTGCATACATGAGAATCAGGACAAGAGACTCAAACCTGAACACAAGCACAGGAAGTCATGAAAATCAGCAGAATGATTCAGTCTTTTAACAAATCATATATGTACTGAGGAGGCTACAAAGAACAGTACGCACCAGCACACCTTCTCATCGTAGATGAACTAAAGAGGCCAGACAAAAAGAGGACACAAAGGGAAATAGGGGTGAGCGGCATTAATTGAATTCTGCATTTCTGTATCTACTCCACTAGAGGTCATGACCAATCCAGAGGCGGAAAAAGGTCAAAGCATGACCTTTTGGTTCATTCTGTTTAATTTAAAAACAAGAAGACACTGCAGAAAGATTTTTTTTTTTCATTTTCAGTCATATAGGAAGTTTCCTCTGAAGCCAGCTATATACATATTTTATACACACAATTTGCTACATGGAGAATTTCTGTTATTGAAAAACTATACTAAAATCCACACTCATAGGGGATTACAGTACCTGTGTTTTTTACTGACTTACTACAATCCAGGCAATTCTGCTGAGGCAGAAACTAGATACAAAAGCTGAGAGCCATGAACTGCACATTCAAATTGGCCTTATACAGTATACTTCTTAATAGGCGACAGTGTACACTCTTCTTTACTGTATATTTCTGCACTACACACCTGGTCATGCGTCCTGTTTTTTTTTTGTGTATGATTCTGTTAGCTCTTACCGCGATGAGGGCAGTGACAGAAAATGTGTAATAAATGGAATCTCGGAGTAGAGCCCAGTGAGAGAGCTTCACTGCCTACAAGAAAAAAAAAAAGGAGAAGCACGCTTATAAAAATAAGTGTGCAGCATCGATTCATACACTCTTATACTGTAGTAACACTTGGCCTTGCTGGAGTTTCTGCAGTGCTGTGATAAAGAAACGCCTCTGACATCACTGATGTAAACAGAGGCGCTCTTCAGCCGACCTCCTGAATCACAGTCAGTGAAAAAGTCAATTATGAGGGACTAGCCTACGTAGAAAATGTGCCGGTGTGTTTAGAACATTTATATAATCAGATAAAAGGCAGGGGCCACAATGCAGTGACTAACACTGTTACACTCTCCCACACAGTGCTCACACTGTATACACAAGTGGAGGGTCAGGAGTCACATCTTGAATGTGCCACTCCCAGCTGTGGAATCACTGGCTGCTGAGAGGCAGAGGGCAAAGTCACAGCACAACGCTGTTTTCAGTGTTTGTTGTACTCTGTTTCACTGTACATCAGTACTTTGCAGAAGGACCCTGCTATGAACGGCCAGCCAAAGGTAATAAACAGTAGTGAGGTGCGTTGCTGGGATGACCTTGAAGATGATCTGCACACCCCATCACTACAAGCCCCGTTACACTGCCTGCCTTTCTCCCTCATTATCTCGCCATGATTACATAATGCACAATCTGGGATTGCATCACTGTTTGGAGTCTAGTGCATATATTTACTTTGCTCATTTCTATGTCCCTTACATGTCAGAAAGCATGAGAGAGAGACTGCACTGCATTGTTATCTCTGCATTTCATGCAAAGCACAAAGCAACAAGAATACAAAGTGGAAACGAGATAAAAATTATGGCTTGTGATCACACAGATGTGATATGGGGTTGGCTAAGAAGATCAAGCACAGAGAAAAATGATTTTAAACAGTGTTACAAATAAAAGTATAAAAATGAAAAATTTCAAGAGGTTGTGCAAACAAAGAATAAAAGAATAAAATATAATCAATGTGCATGTTTTTTTAAAGGGTTTTTAAGTAACTTAAAGGAACTTCACAGCCTAAATACACCTGGAATTACACAACATTATAGTCTGTCTTTTAACATTATAGGCTCAGTATATGAGGTTATAAATAACACAGCTGAAACAGTAAAACATATGCATCACATTTGCTCTGAAGCTGTACTTTGGTGCAGACAGACACACGGAGTGATGGGAGTGATGCATGAATCAATGTGTGTACTGTACTGTATGTGTCCTGCATTCTACACATGGTAAATGGTCTTATACTTGTATAGTGCCTTTCTATGCTTTTACAGCACACTCAAAGCACTTTCACACATTATTCGGCCATTCACCCATTCGCACTCCCAAGCACTCACGCATTCACACACCGGGGACATCACCGGGAGCAACTGGGGGTTCAGTGTCTTGCTCAAGGACACCTCGACATGTTGACTGGACAAGCCGGGAATCGAACCGCTAATCCTCCGGTTAGGAAACGACCCGCTCTACCTCCTGAGCCACAGCCGCCCCCAGCTGCATGTATGCATGAGATCATTCCACCACTTGGTGTTTATGTGGCTGAATATTAAAGGTGACATTAGGCCACTGGTTGTACAATATAAAAATGGCATCAGAGCTTGGCTGCTGCGGAGTAACGATGCTATGGCATCATACCTGGCCGGCGAAGAAGCCACACACTCCGATGATGCAGAGGATGTTAAAGACAGCTGAGCCCACGATGGTCCCCACACCCACATCACCTTTGGTGATGAACACCCCTTGGGAGAGAAGGAGCCAGCACACACACACACACACACACACACACACACACACACACACACACAGAGAATTATGACTCCATAGACGATGAAGATGTGGCGTACACCACTTGACATATGCAGCTGCAGCACAGCATATGCAGTGCTGACAAAAAGATGTCACACCATTGTCAAATCATGTAAATAACTCCATATTAGTCATGGATCACTCTCACGCTCACACTTTGCGTGCACTCACATGCACACAAACAGATGTGGAGAACGAAAAGAAGATCATCTTTATTTAAAGGCCTAAAAAAAAAAAAAAACCTAAAAGTCCATTAATGTTCTATACAAATGACAAAAGCATTTAATCTGTTAAAACCTATGACAGACGTGAAGAGCTCAGGAGCAGAGCTGCCAGCGGCCATGAAGGTGGCACCAGCAACGTCCTCACTGAGATGGAGATGCTGGGAGAAAAGAGAAGGAAACTCAAATTAAAATTGGATTCTATGACAGGAAACAGCCGCTGCATTTAGTAAATCCAGACTAGCCCAGGACACAAACAGTAGATCGATCACTGCCTGACCACAAACCCTTGAACTGATCATTAAGATCTAAAGAAAATTTTACCAATAATAAAATGTCTGATAAAAGAAAAGCAGATTTGATCTACTGAGACCTAGCAACACCTTGTAGCTAAATACCAACAAGACAATATACAAAGACTTAAATATAAGTTGCTCAGATACTGTACTTGAGCAATGCCTGGGAAATAATAAACAAGCTCTTTGAGGATAAATATTTGACCTGTAGCTTAGCCAGTTTCTTTCCTTCTTGCTACTTGCTACACTTCTGCTATCCAACACAGTATTTCACATTTCCTACATAAACACATGCTAATAAAAATTATTTACAGTAGATGCAGATATATCATGATCGTTGTAGCTCTTTAGGATTTGTATATGTGCGACCAGATGTCTTGCTGTATTTTTGATGTTTGTGGGCAAAGTAAATTAAAACCTACATATAAACTAACATTACTGTACATTACTGTTATGATATGATAAATGAGAGCAAAGACAGTAACAGCATCATTATATAAAACTACAAAGGCAGATAGCAGACTTTTCTGTGCCCAACATCTGGAGTGCTTATAAGATAAATACTTCAGAAAAAACATGAGGCAGTGAGAGAAAGATACCTGCATCTTTAGTTGAATTTTAAGGTTCCTGAATGTCTAATGCCAGTTCAATGATGATATTTCAGTTGGAAAATATGATACTTGGCTGTTATTCTCATTTCAAAAGCATACTGCCTAATATCTCACATTCATACCTCACATATCTTTTGCAGGGAGGGGACAAAGTAGTCATCACAAACAAGAGCCAGGGCACAGAACATGTAAATGGTCTGTGGAGGGAGAATGATAAATATTACAGGGGTCAGTGAAGTACACATGTTCCTCAATGTGATTTAACCATACAGTGTAACAGGGTAAAAACTCCAAGCTAGCTGTACCTTATGACATTAAATCCTAATGTAATGCCCGCTGAGATTTTTCAAATAACAGGTCAAAAAGGACAGGAACAAGTGATGTTGTTTGCCACCTTCTATATCATCTGACAGGTATAATTTCTGTATGCTGCCTTAAAAATACCTCTCTTCTTACATTAAATTTACCGTATATGTAAATTACTGTGAAAAATGAATCAAGTCTAGTAACTGAAGGCTAAAGAGTCAGAGATTTGATCCACGCAAATGCAGTGCAGTGAATTAATGGATAAAACATTAAAACTGCATGGATAACCAAACTGCAGGAGCAAACTATTTACATGATTCAACAGGGAAGTTAGTTTAGACTTTTAAAACAAGTTGGAATTTAAAAAGCCCAGGAGGGAAAGTTATTTATTATATATTGTCTATTGTTTACTGTACGTAATATGTATATTTTACTTATTTTACATCTTATAGGGCAGGGTAGATTTATGCAGACCCCTCACACCCTGGACACAAACAGTTTGAACTCCTCTCTGCACGGCGCTACAGGTCACTGTGTGACAAAACAATCAGACACAAGGACAGTTTCTTCTCCCAGGCAGTCACTCTGATAAACACTTAACCCATGACTGTGTGATTGGACACAGCAACCAGCACAGTGCAATAAACTGTAACTATAACCACTGTATATAGCAGTCTAAAAGCTCTTCTGCCATATTTTTGGGACCAGCAACTGCAAAGGCTCGATCGCCTCTAAGCTTACACTTTGTTCTTGGGACACTCAAGAGAAGCTGATTGGCTGACCTCAGAGAGCGTGTGGGTGTATGCCAATGAAGCAAATCAGATAAGTAGGATGGTGCAGAGCCATGAAGGGATTTAAAAACAAAGAGTAAAACTTTGTAATGGACCCGAAAATGAGCAGGTATCCAATGTAGGGAGGCCAAAAGTGGAGAGATATGCTCACATTTCCTTTTACCTGTTAAAAGATGTGCTGCTGCATTTTGGACCATCTGCAGGCGAGTGATAGAAGACTCACCGACCCCAAGATACAACGAATTACAATAGTCCAAACGAGAGGTGATAAAAGCATGAATAAGCGTCTCAAAATGCTGTCTAGAGACAAATGCTTTTACTTTAGCCAACTGTCTTAGTTGAAAGAAACTAGATTTAATGACAGCTACAATTTGGCTGTTGAATCTTAAATCTGGATCCATCTTAATACCTAAATTTAAAATATTCTTTTGATTATAATGAGCCAATATATACATACACACACTGTATGTACATCTACAGTATTTATAAAAGCTGTCTCTTGTTTCCTCTCCTTCCTTTCCTATTTTTGATTGCACATATTTCTTATTTGAATGCACACACTGTTTACTCTTATTCTCATTTTTATTGCCCTAATTTTTAGTTTTATTCTCATTGTTACTTTCTATTCCTGTTGCCTTTCAACACATTGAGAGACTCTGCAGCAGAGTAAAATTCCTGTTTGTTCAAACATACTTGACCATTAAAGACGATTCTGATTCCGATTCCCCTACAGAATCAGACCTCTGATCTTTATTGACACAATGGAACCCAGCTACCAATACCAGATGTATGACAAAATGATATAGTGTTTATTTATTTATTAAAATATTTCTAAACATGAATACCATAAATGATCTGTAAATTCACCTGAAATAGCATTGAATTATTTCTCACATTATACACAAATTTTTTATTCTTTCGTGTAAATTTATTTTTGTCTTGCACATAGTTTACATTGTTTGAAAGTCTACAAAGCCTCTGAATTTTAGAACCTTTAATTTACTAAACAACACGTTGGCCTGGCCTTTAAGATTATTTATTTATATTTACAATTCTTACAGTTCTCTTTGGCAGCATGTGGCATCTCTTTGGCATCTTGCAACTTGCCCCAGTATGTGAGTATAGAATATTCCTTTAATAAATCCTTAGTTTATACAGTATTAAGATAGAATTAGGAAGTTTTTATGTGAGCTTACCAGCATAATTTATTATCTAAAGTCTCCCTTTAAAAAGCCTGATTTCAGAAACTCCTTCAGTTTCATCATTCATCACGTTTGCCTTGCTTTACATGATTAACGCTCTGATGATTAACACGCTCTCACTTAAATGAGTTTTGTTTTTTCATAGCATTCAAAAGTTGTTTCAAATTCTTATTATAGCAAATAATCTGTATCATGTGCAACGAAATTTAAATGCAATGTCTGCTCAGTAACTATGAAAACAAATACAGCTTATAGAGAAGACAAACAATAACATGTCTCACATTCAGCCTTGTGGAACAACACAGGTCTTCTTCATTGAAATCACTCCCTGCACAGTCTTTCTGTGGCAGGATTCATTACCTGTAAATAATCTACTCTTATGAAATGCTTTTAATGTTGTGTAAAAATTTCACAGGTGTTTTTTCTCTCCCTGGCATATCATTTCATAAACACCCACTACATGTAACTGTTCTTTGGCATCACATAATCCAAACAATGCAGAGCCCTGGGAGAATTCAAGATGTGGAGGAATGACAGACAGTGATGATCAAGAGAAAATGTCAGGTAGTGCTGACAAACCAATTGGAAATATGTGAACAAAGGAAAGGCATGAATATTCTCACACACTCTAATAACAAAGGATTTCAAAGCTTTGCTTGCAGTAGGAAGGGTGAACATTTCTTTTTCCTTTTATGCTCAGGTCTGAGTCACATCTTCCTGTGTACCAGCAGTCCTTCTATTTTCTATTTCTGAAAGCAGGTGAGAGCAAGCTGAACCACCAAATGTCTGCATGAGCCCCACGACAAAACCCACACAGTGAATGACTTTGAGAGAGAGAGAAAAAGAGTGTCTGTGTGTGTGTGTGTGTGTATACGTGTGAAGAGTTGTGCCATAAGCCCACCCCATCAGTCACTGAGGTGGAGATTTGTCAGTTTGGGGCAGTCAAATGTAATCCTGCAAACTGGGTTTAATCTGGATTCTCATTTACTGCTAAAATGGAGGCTACAGAAACCAGCAGCCTTTAGCACTATCTAAAGCCTACTGGAGCTGGGTGTGACTGTCAGTGGGTGAAGTGTATGATGAATGCATGTACATGTGTTTCTATTTGTGCATATATTTTTTGTGTGCATGCAGTCATGGGAGTCCTTAAATCTGAAGCTGTGATTGTGTGTGTACTCTCAGATTAACAGCAAAGTGAAGGTAAATAATCAGGCTGAAGTACTGTAAGAGAAAGAGAGAGGGCTGTTGGCACATTTAAACAAGTGTGTACTCTGGCTGCCTTGGTTATGAAATCATGGGTCAAGTCCCAAAAGGAGACTGAAGGATTTTAAATCCAACTAAAGTTACAAGTCACTGGTGTAAAGAGTCAGCAGATTGACTCGACTCTGAATCCAAGTCATGTGACTTAAGTCAGACCTCTGAAACAAAGCAGACGTGCATTTTGTCAGTGGGTTTCATGTAGTGCGGAAACTGAAGGTTGATAAAATGATTAACCGCTTGACAAAGAAACTAAACTCTCAAAAAGTGAGTAACCATTCAGTCATTCATCAAGCACACGTGCCAAACATCGTCTCTTTCCACATTATCAAATGTGAATTTCTGATTTTCTCCGTTACATCATTCTTCATCAGTCTTTGAATTGGACTGCTGCTTGGACTAAACAAGATCTCTGAAGAGACTAAGCAATTCATCAGTTGTTTAAAAACATTAACTTGGGTCCAATGAAATTACTCCCTTGTAATGTAAATACAGTTGGTGGCCTCTGTTGTTAAAATGTGACAAAATGCCCACCGTTTCTTTAAGCTTTCTAAATGTGTGTTTTTGATATCTTGAAATCAGTATCTTGTGTTAAGGAAGACTGCACATTTTGAGACAATCCACTGAGCCTTTTTATGAAAAACTCCTACTTTCTCCAGATTCCAAGCAGCTCGTATCAAAACTTGTGAACTGCTTCTCCACTTCTGTATCTTCAGCTAGTGTAAGGGAGGCCTGAGCCGGTGACCTGAATGCACAGGCATCAGCAGAGCTCTGGTAAGAGGCAATGTCATGAGACCCGGCAGTTTAAGCCTGCGTGTGCCATCTTTGGAACTGTCTGATAGCCTTTATATTCGGTTTTGTTTGCCATTTCAGTATATCCTGTTGTTAAAAATTGAAAAATATAAATTAAGTATTAAAAAAATTGTGTGAAACCTCTAATTAGCTTGCTCCCCGGTTCACTTCCTTATATTCCAGTCCAGTTTGGTTTATACAGTATATTGTATGTCACAGTTCAAACAAACTTTTCCTGAGGTCTGGCCCATTTTGGTTTGAGTTCTCACCCCCATTTTTTAAAAATAGAAAGGTGGAAAAGTATGGCAGCATTATAACTGTAGTGTCTACTCTGCAGGTACAGTATTAGCCTGGATTGTCCTTGCTAAAAATATGTAACATGCTGTTCTCTCTATAAAGCAAAGTACAGTAACACCTGCTATGAAATCACATAGAATACTTTATTTTAAAGGTTAGACATCACAGGCAAATGGCTGGTGATGATATAGTATATTTTTTAAATATCCAAGCATCCTGGAAAAGGTTACTTTCATGTACCCTTCTCCAACAGGAACAGGCTGGGTGCACTGTAAGCAGTGACATTACCCATAATGTCATACATGTACTAACAACATAGTCCATCTGGTAGAGTTTAGTGCTCTGTTTATGTACAGCAAAGTTCCCTAGACATGCTGCTATGCTGGCATGAGCTTCCATTACAGTCAGATACAGCACAGCACAATATGGGTCATCATGTTCTGGAACATTCTGCATGTTTGGGTCAGTGACGATAGAGAGACAGCAAAGGGGCTCCATCATCCAGCCTTGACCTTGCTCACTGAACCCTGCTCGGCCACACTGAAGAGGCCAGTGTGGCTGGTCAGGCATGTGGTGACAAAGTGAGGTACTGCCAGAGCCATTTGTCAATACTTTAGCTTTGCTTTGACTGACAGCTGGCCAGAAACCACCCTGTGGCATAATAAAACTAAACATGGCAGGTAGCGAGAAGGACTGAGTCACTATGTCTGCAGTTGAAGTGTTTGGAAGTTGGTCTATAGACTTTATACCTGGAACCCTCAGTTGATTAGTCAGAATGTTTAGTCATGTTGTCAATACAACAGTGTAATGTAAAATGTAAGTGTTTGTAATGTAAGTATTTTCATATGAAAACTGTGGCTCAGATTTTGATGGCAATGATTGAAAATACAGGAGGCTGCACATTTTCTGTATGGCAGGTATCAATCTCAACAGTACAAAGTTTCACATTGCTTTTAGGCACCCCTTGATACATAACAGATTTTGGTGATTTTTTATTTGAACAGATGTTAACACAGTTTCTCTTGGAAATGGAAAAAATGCACAATATTTTCTGCAAACAGTGATGCATAGTTACTTCTTATGCCATAAATTGAACAAAAATAAAAAATAAAAACATTATTATGGCATGGTGCAAAAGTTTGGGCACCCTACACAATCAGTACTTAGTAACACCTCCTCTGGCAGATATCACAGCTTGCAAACGCTTTTCATAGCCAGCTAAAAGTCTTTCAATTCTTGTACTTGGGATCTTCTCCCATTCTTCCTTGCAAAAGGCTTCTAGTTCTGTAATATTCTTTGGTCGTCTTGCATGCACAGCTCTTTTAAGATCTACCCACAAATTTTCAATGATGTTTAAATCAGGGGACTGTGATGGCCATTCCAAAACCTTCAGCCTGCGTCTCTTGAGGTATTCCATAGTGGATTTCGAGGTATGTTTAGGATCATTGTCCTGTTGTAGAAGCCATCCTCTTTTCAGCTTCAGCTTTTTTACAGATGGTGTGATGTTTGCTTCCAGAATTTGCTGGTATTTAGTGGAATCCATTCTTCCCTCCACCCGTGCAATGTTTCCTGTGCCACTGGCTGCAACACAACCCCAGAGCATGATAGATCCACCCCCATGCTTAATAGTTGGCAAGGTGTTCTTTTCATGAAATGCTGCTCCTTTTTTTCTCCAAACATGCCTTTGCTGATTGTGTCCAAAGAGTTCTATTTTAACTTCATCAGTCCACAGCACTTGTTTCCAAAACGCATCGGGCTTCTGTAGATGTCCTGTTGCATACTTCAGACGTTGGATTTTATGATGGGGACGCAGATAAGGTTTTCTTCTGCTGACTCTTCCATGAAGGCCTTGTCTGTGCAAGCATCGCTGCACAGTGGAACGGTGCACCACCACTCCTGAGTCTGCTAAATCTTCCTGCAGGTTTTTTGCAGTCAAATGGGGGTTTTGATTTGTCTTTCTGACCAGCATACGAGCAGTTCTGTCCGAGAGTTTTCTTGGTCTTCCAGATCTCATCTTGACCTCCACAGTTCCCCTGATCTGCCATCTCTTAATTACATTTCTTACTGTGGAAACTGCAAGCTGACAACGCTTTGCTATCTTCTTGTAGCCTTCTCCTGCATTGTGGGCGTCAATAACTTTCATTTTCAGGGTCTTACACAGCTGCTTAGAGGAACCCATGGTTGCTGGGTGTCCACAAGTGTGTGCACAAGGTTTGAAGAGTCAAAGTATTTGTACAGCTTTGAAATTGGCATTTACCAATGACAGCTGTTGCTGTGCATCAGATCTAACGAGCTGATTAAGGTCTGATACCTTGTGAGAGACTTTGAGACTCTGGAACTCTTAGGGTGCCCAAACTTTTGCACCATGCCATAATAATGTTTTTATTTTTTATTTTTGTTCAATTTATGGCATAAGAAGTAACTATGCATCACTGTTTGCTGAAAATATTGTGCATTTTTTCCATTTCCAAGAGAAACTGTGTTAACATCTGTTCAAATAAAAAATCACCAAAATCTGTTATTTATCAAGGGGTGCCTAAACTTTTGCATAAGACTGTACAACTCTGAATATAATGTAGTCCAGCACAACACCACCTTTAACTATGACCTCACTAATAAACATAGAATTGAATTGATAGATTAATGATAATTTCAGAAAAAACTGAAGCAATTTGAGGGTGGCACAGTGGAACAGTGATTAGCACTGTCTCCTCACAGCAAGAAGGTTTTGGGTTCGAGCTCGTTGCAAAAGACTGGACAGTATTGATATTTACACCTTTACTGTTTTTACAGTAATGCCATTGTGATATGGAAAATACAGTGTTTTACATCATTGCATAGCAGAAAGGGGGGAAAAATACCACAGAGGTACAAATAAACAGAGGAAACATGCTTTCCAGTTAAGGTTCGTGGGATGCACCTCTAAGCTATTTTACAGTAGAGAACTGGTTGATCGTCGGTTAATCTATTGCTTCACACATTCCCCTTCATTAGTGAAAGTCAAGATTCACCTGAGAGCAGTTCAACAGTTCAGGGCACATTTACAAAACAAGCTGTATAGAACTATGCCTGACAGATACTAAAGACAAGTAGTTCACCCATTTAGCATGTAATGACATCTACAATGAACTAAAGGCTAAATGTTGTGGGAGGTCAGACTATTCAGCAGAGAACTATATAACACATTTTGATCAGCATAAGCAACAGATCATGTAGGAAACAACAGACAATTGTACATGATCAGCTCCATGAATGTGCCAAAGCATTTGCAGTGTGTTAAAAATAATGAGAAATTGTTTGAATCATGTGCACAAGTGACTGGATGATGTGGAGGTTGCACAAGTAGGTTAAAGAATTTGATTTCTGATCTGAGAAGTGTACAAAAGTGATTGAGAAAAACTATAACACACCCGCAAATGGCTGCACAGTGGTAAAAGTTAAGATAAACTTACACACAAGATGTGCAGGGCCACAGCTCCTTCTGTTCTCTCTTTGTTTGTGAACAGGTCTGTAGGGAACTCTTGCAGAGCTGGAACAGGCAGAAACATGAAGTTAGAACAGCTCATATACCATATATTAGTGCATGTGTATGTATGTGTGCATTTCAGCAGTGTGGTGTCCAGCAGAGCGGTTAACCCTATAAGCACAGAAACCCATTGAACTCATTTGTACTGGCAAGAATCCTTGCTCAAGAAGTACCTTGCCAAGTAGTGTGTAACAGTCCAACTGTGCCCTTCCAAAGACTTTGTATAGTTCCTCGGAGAGCAACAGGAGAATAGGTAAATAGACAACGTGACCACTAGCAGGACAAAGTGAGGGCAAAGAGGACAGAGCATTACAAAAATAGGGCACAGGATATTTATGGCATGGCAAGTGTGATGTAGAGCAGAGGAAAGAGATGGTGGTGGGAGTTTAACCACAACTTCCAAAGTCCACTACTTTGCATGGGAATGTGAGTACAGCTGAGCAAGTGAGGGCAACAGTGTGTGAGTGTAAGATGAAGACAGCAAGACAGAGAGAAAAGCAGAGTTGTCAGAATGTGAAGAAAAACAGAAAGAGGTGAAAGAGAGGGGGTTTGGCTTTAAAAGGTGGCTAAAGTTATTCTAACCCCTCTCTGAGGCTTTTGAAGTCCTCCCTCCCCTCTCTCAGCACCACAGCCCCTCTGACTGCCAAGACCAGTGACAGGGGCTTGGCTGCTGGAGAGTGCTGAGGAAACTTTGCTTCTTGCCCCTCAAGCACTAAGTCACTCTTGTCTTCATTTCCCTCAACACAAATCAGGAACTTATGCACAGGCAACTAAAATCTGTTACATATTTCTGAACCTACTGTGCACTTTCCCTGGGAAAGGCCTGCCAGGCATGAGGCAGAGATTTACGCTAATGCTACTGATTGCAAGCATGTGGTCATGGATGGATTATGAGAGTGTGAACCCCTGGGCACAAACAGGTTTAAGGCTCCCCATCCCTCCTACAGTACATATGACCCCCAAATAGAGACATTTATAGTCATTTTGCATGTATTGTCTTTATGGTGTAGTCCAGGGGTGGAAAACCAGTGCCCAAGAAGCCGGATTCACTTTGTGTGAATTAGTATTCACACAATTCACTTTGTGACTCCACCTTTTGTAGTCATCTAGCATTACTTAGTGGTCAATTTGCCTCTTTTTTATGGCCATTTTCATCTCTTTATATTAGTTGTGTGTGTTTTATGGTGATTTTTCATGTCTTGATAGTTCTTTTGTGTCACATTGTTTTTGTTTTTTATACTGACGGAGCTCTATGACTTTCACCTTAGAAATATGTCACTTTATACGGAGGCACAGGCCCTACAGCCCCCTGAAGCCTTGGGTCCATGCGACTGTGCCCAGTAGACATGTCTAGTAATCCATCCATGTATATGGTCAAAAAAATGGCAACATCAGGATCAGAAATATTTTAGTGACCAGCACAGCACACAAGAAGGATTGTCTTGGAGATCCCGGTAAAAAATAACAACGACTGACAACTTTCAGAAACTATTCATTTAACACTGTTCTGTGCAACTGCTGAGTAATGTGTGAAAGTGAGGGCTTGTGTTAATTGCCATACCATTTTAGCCAGGACTGTGTTAAAAGTAAGATTTTTTATCTATGGAGATGAGGCTGGTTAAATTAAGTAAATAAATAAAACAGTGAATATACCAGCTCATTAAATGCAACCACATAACTATTCCGAGATTAAGTGCAATTATTGACAAATGCTTAGGAGCAACACACTTAGCAGGACAAGCCATATGTATTTTAGCACCGAGAGTTTGAGGTGAAGAAAAGAAAGCATTTCAATTAGAGATGCACTGACTGCAATTTCCTTGGCCGATTCCAGTTTCTGATTTTTTAAAAGCCTGATCTGGCGATTGTGATTTTGGCCTATTTTTGAGAGTTTTGTGAGATTTTCTCTCATTATAGGAACTGTAACTGACAGCATACACAAACATTTTTGCAACTTTTCGTTAATGAAAAGTTAAATTGTAATAAAAAAAATAAACCTATTAAATTATTTAAAACATTTTTTTAACAAGCCTCTAACAAAAAATTATGTGCAATATTTATACTTTTCCAAATGTGAACAGGTGCAAACAAAATAATGCCTGTTACATCAGTCTTACTGAGCATGCAGTTTTTTTTAAGTGTTTGTAGATTTACTTGTGTTTTACATGCATATGAAATTGCAAGTTTTGTCTTCTTAACTCACATTAAAGAATTTCCACACTGATGACAGTGTGTGTGTGTGTGTGTGGCTGCGACATTACTGTCTGTGCCACTGTGTGTGACATGACCCATCATACATGTGAATTTGACCAGCACACAATTGGACATCTCAGACTGGTCATGGCCAGTTCTGATCTCCAGTCAACTGATTTGTGTATCTTTAATTTTAATGAAGCTAAGCACAGTGGTGCATTATGCTAAATATTAACATCACTACACTAACATAATCACAATTAAAATGCTAACTAGCTAATGTTTTGCAGATAAAGTTTACTGTGTTTACCAGCTTGATTTGGGAGACTTGACATCAAAGTGAGGGCCATGGGACTGATATTAGCAAACTAATTTGCTAGCATATATGCTATTATTATATTTAACTTAACTTAATATGCAACATTGTGGGTTTGACATTGCTGTTTGATGAGTTATAAATGTTTTAAATGTTAAACCAGACATGTTTAATTAGTATCTGATTATTGAAAATGACTGGGCGATTTGGTGATTTGTTGCTGGGTCAGAGGAATCTGAGGGGAGAATTCTGTGAAATGTGGAACTTTAACACACTTTGGTTTGTTGTTGTTTGTTTTTTTTTAATATGTTGCACTGAATCACAATTTGTTAACATGTAACAGAGCAGCAGCAGGCTGATTAACAATCATATCACATTTCTTACTATCTGTAGTACACGCGAGGCCTCAGTGGTCTCTGTCAGTCACATGACCCTCGTCATGCTGGACATATGGTTCCACTGAGAGTCTCCTGTGTGGTTTTGCATGTTTGCATATTAATAATTGTTGACCAGTTGGCGATCTGATACAGCAGGACCACCTCTGGTTGCTACTGTGCATAACCTGGTTGCAAAACGTGTCACAAAAGCAAGATGGCTGCTCCTGTATTTGAGATACAGTATTTTGGCTTCACTTTTGCATACTGGTAAGAAGCAGTCATCATCTTTATATGCAGTCTATGTTATGACCACGTAAGCAACCATTTGTTAAACTGTGATTGCCCAGTCATGGCTTAGTAATAATGTGTCACAGCAGGTCTGTCAACCTTTGGATTTCTTCACATTTCAAAGCACTGTGTATGGCACTCTGATAGGGGAAGTGTGGTGTCTCTTTTTTAGCTTTTGAAAAATCAAAAACACCTGAACAAAAGCTTAAGCAACTGATAAAACATTATGAATGTATAAACTGCAGATAACACAGCTGTATGCAAAAAAATATTTTTTTAGCTAAATACATTTCGTAAGGTCACAGGTTACATAAAACTACGCACATCCAACTGTCTATTTCTGTTTACACTGAGATGTGTGGTATCTATCACCGCTTTAAAAATGACAAAATTCAACCTGACATGAACACCCTTCATCAACTCTATGACAAGTGGTCAGCAGCCAAATTGATGTGAATGATGCTCTACATGAGCACTTAATTCAAAGGGCTCAGCAACTGAGTCCTGTCAAGTGGACATTCTGATGGAGACAAGAGGATGTGCTGACAAAGCAGCTAACTTTCACCATGCCCAGACTGATACCTGCTATGTCAGGGGGAGATACAGATGGCAGATGCACTCTTTGCCATAGTCTCTTGTGCCTTATCCAAACAAGGATGCACAGACCCACACCAACCACCTGCCTTACTGTCAGGTTTTCCGGGGATTTTTTTTTACATCAAACGCTGCCTAAACTTGAAAAAGGCATAAGCTAATCACAGGGGATGCAGGAAAAACTCAATAACTCAAAATACAATGAGCATTATTGTTGCTACCAACATTGTGAGCTCTCTAATTCCACATTTATGTTGCAGGCTTAACTTAAATCTTAATGAAAGACAGTGTTTACACTCTGTATAAATGACTTCACATAGCTAACTTACATAACCAAAGTACGAACGTCGCTACTTCAAATAAGACTGACAACCCGCACGCTAATTAGCATATCATACTGAACACAGCGGTAAAACACTCTACTCTTTCCGTTTTATATAAAACAATTTACATACCAGTGGCATCCCTATGATTGCCACACCGGTGAAGTGTCCCCTCCTTATTCCAGCTGGAGTCAAGCAAACATTCCCACAGTTTCAACAGAACTTCGACACAACTTTAGAACACACTCTTCATCTGCAGTCGGATAACCTACGCTACACATATGTTTTTCCTCTGTCTAACCCGGAAACTGTCCTCGGGTGGTTGCCCCGCCTCCCTATCAACGTTACTTAGCAACCACTCTTCTTCTTCTCAATTACCACTATTAATACACTTCCCCCTTTTCTCGTTATTTTACGTTTTGTTTCCCCTATTTTAGACTCATATTGCATTGTCCCAAGTCCAACTTTACACTCACTAAGGCAACGTTCACATTACACGCTGAAATGGATTAAATCCGTTTTTTTTTCCTTTCCCAGAGATTTTTTCCACAGAAGAGTGAATAAACCTAATCAATTTTTTTCAAATCAGATCTGGGCATATGTGGTCCTAGATCAGATTCATATCAAATCTCTGAGTGCGTGACTGCTGTCAGAACATTAAGATCAGAATTCATGTGGGTTTTTTTTTATGTCTCACTCCTCTGCACATGTGCTAATTGCCTGTTGTCATCAGTCAGTTTTGGCCCCTTACAGATTGGTAAAAGTAAATAGAAGAGAGCAGCAAGACCAATGGGGAATAGTGGCGAGACGAGGATGTTTCACCTTTGTTGGACATTTAAGGAGAGGCTTCAGCTCAAGTCAAGATGGAAAGAACACATCTTAACTGAGCAGTTTTTGAGGAAACTGCGTGAT